GTTGGTTTTAAGAATGCTATTTTCTTATTGTCCTTAAGGCAGAACTGGGGGCATGAAGGTTACTTCTGCCAGCACCATGCCTCTGGTCCCCACCCCATAGGATAGAGATGTGGTCTCAGGTCCCACCCTATCCCAAAGGCTACTCTAAGGAACAGGGAAACCCAGACTGGGTGGTATTACCTATAATTCCAGCTACTTGGGACGCTGAGGAGGATCACTTGAACCCAGGAGTTCAACACTAGCCTGGGTCACATAGACACCCATATATTCTTTTTTTTTTTTTTTTAAGCCAGGCATGGTGGCACACACCTGTAATTCCAGCAACTTGGGAGGCGGAGGCAAGAGGATGACAAGTTCAAGGCCAGCCTCAACAACTAAATGAGGCCCTAAGCAGAGACCCCATCCCAAAATGAAAAATAAAAAGGGCTAGGGAATGTGGCTCAGTGGTAAAAAGCCTCTGGATTCAATCTCCAGTACCAAGAAGAAAATGAAAGTAAGAGAAAGGAAGAAGAAGAGGAGGAGGAATAAAAAGAAGAAAAGAAGAAAAAAGAAGGGAAAAGAAAGAAAGAAAGAAAGAAAGAAAGAAAGAAAGAAAGAAAGAAAGAAAGAAAGAAAGAAAGAAAGGGGAAAGGGGTGTTTGGGTTGGAGATGTAGCTCAGTGGTGGAGTGATTGAGTAGGAACAGCGGCTGCCCAATGGTGGTGTACTCATCAGAGTTGGATGAGCAGAGTAGAGATGCTGTAGGGCTCCTGAACTTGACCAAGCCACTTTCTACCCCCACATTCCTTCTTGGAGGCCAGGAATTTGGCCTCCAGCACCTGTAGCTCAGGTGCTCCAGGCCCTGGTCAAGGGAAGAGCTCAGTCCAGGGAAGTTTCTTGGCAGTTTTCTGCCAGCCTGCTTGCATAAAGCCCGGTTTGCCCCCAATTTCCACCTGCCACCAGGGGGCTCCACAAGTTGGTTTTTCAGTCTTGGTTTGCAGGAGAGAACAAAGACCCGATGGACCTAACCTCAGGTGACAGTCCTGGGCTTCTTGCCCATCAAACCCCAGATGTGGGACAGCAAACTCTTTATTGATGAAAGGGGGAAAGGCTTGGACATCCTATGGAGAGGGTAGTGGGGCTATCCTGAGAACTTGCCAAGTTCCCCTCCCACAGTCCCTTAGTGCATGTACTGCATTGGTTAAGACTTCTCCTTAGTCTCCCATGAGAACAGGATATCCCTCCCCAAACCACTTACTTTGGGCAGTTTTAGGGGGAGCTTCTGGACAGCTGTAAGAACTTATATGTAAATGTGAGGAGAGGGCTCATCCTGTTAGCAGTGGGCATGAGGATGTTTACATCCATCTACACACACAGCATTTAATACCATATGTAGCAACTCATTACCCAGGACCTTCAGAAATTGACAGGGTATTTGTATCAAACTCTATTTGTGTTATATTTATAGTAAATACTGGCAAACATATATACATACACCCACATAGGCCGCTGGCCATCCAAACCAGACTGTATATGCTAAGACATAATTGCTACATGTCAGGAACTCTCTTAAATCCTTTTATCTCGCTTAGGAAATTCCCTAAACCAGCTTCTCTAACAGAAACTCAAAAGTGCAAAGAGGGAGAGGAAAGAAAGGAAATAAGAGATGCAGAAAGTCTGCAATTGTCCCAAGTTTTTAGCACTGGGGGGAAATGAACAGAGTTTCAGAGAAGCTACCAGGCTGCGATTAGACACAGATGTCTTCCTGTAGGCATGCATGGGGAAGTGGGGTATGATGTGGCTCCCTTCTCTCACCTCCTCCAACCCCTCTCTGTAGATCCCACCAATTCTTTCATTTCATCCTACTTGCTTAGCGAGGCTTTCCAGCCTTGGGTCCCTCTTGCCTTTCCATTTTCAGGGGCAGAGAGAGTGCTGGCCCAGTCCAACTTTCTTACCACACTGGAGGTAAGCTGCTATCTGGCTACCAGTAGCTCTGTCTGGGAGATTGCCCTCCCTTGCTTTTTCTGTTCTGGATAGCGGTTAAAGGGGTGCTGACAGCCAGCCTCTAAGCAGGGAGCCTCTGCCAGATGAAGTACATATTCTGTTTTTGTTCAGTAAGCCAGGCATATATACCTCATACATGACAGCACACATCACCATGAGGCATAATTCCACTGTGGTCCCAGGAAGCACTAACTAAACGTTAGCTATATAATTAGAACAATGCCCCAAATATATGCTCTCTCTGCAGGTGAGGCGCGCGCACACGCGCGCGCGCGCACACACACACACACACACACACACACACCTCCCATCTTTCCACTGTGTGTAACTGACACTGTACATATACATTTGCAGTAGGCACAAGATTGTAAAATTGCTCATGGGATACAGAAAGCAGAAATAGACAAGTGTATAGCAGCAAGCTGTATTGTCTATAACTCCCCTTAGCCAGAGAGTGGAGCAGCTGGGCACCAGAAGCACCCAAAYATCAGGCCTGACTGGCCTCTGGGATTTCTGTCCCTGGCTGAGATTCCTTCTCCAGCCTGCTCATTTTGGTGCCTGCAGATTCCAGTCCCTATCTCAGGGTGGGTCTCTGAGAATCCTCAGGGCTTCCTCTACCACCTAGAAGCCTTTCTGGGGATGCCTGAGGGAGGAGAGAGCATCTGGAGCAGAAAACAGTTCCCCTGGGTCCAAACTACACATAACAGGAATACCACCCTGATGTTCTCCTGGCAGATCCCCAGTGGACCGAGATAGGTACAGTTCCTGAAGCCTTCAGTGGCCCACCCACCCATACGGACCTGTTGCCGCTGTGATCTAGTCCTGTGTGTATATGGGGGGGAGGTAAGGGAGAGGTGGTTGGGCACGGGGTCTAGCTCTAGCTGCAGCAAAAGTCAGCCAATTCCTTGTCATCCCATGAGAAAATTGAATGACAGGCAACCCCTAATCTGTCTAGGAGATCCAGTCTATAACAAGGTCAAACTCCTATATGTGTGTGCTGAAGCCTCAATCTTAATTGGTTATTTGAAGATCTCCATAAAGGAAGAGAAAAAAAAATTAATGTTTGTGGCCACACAGTATATTCATCCCTTTTCAAAACTCCCAAATCTCTTACCCATATTTTAAGATAAACGAATTCTGGTTATTAAAAATAATGAAGCAATTAATCACATATTGAATTTATAAACAGGTTTGCAGTGTATGTCGCACTTCAAAACCAGGATTTTATATACTGAGAATAAGCTGTTTTGGTTGTTAYATTTGCTCAAAAAACTTAAAAGTAGGAGGACAATAATGAAAGCACCTAGTAGAACTGTGTAAAAAGCAAAATACCCACTTACATGGGTGCAAAAATGGAACAAGTCCTAACTACAGTAGATCCTTGTGAAAGAACGGGATAAAGTCTCGGTGATGAAACAACAAGCAATGACACAGAAACAAATAATCTCTAAGAAAACAAAGCAACATCCCCAGCCAAAAATGCCCGCCACCCTGGTTGCTCTTAACCTTTGTTTAGATTCCTCTGAAAAAGGACAAACTCCCCCCCCCCAAGACTTCCTATTTTAACTGCTGCTGAATTAAGACGCAAAGTAAATAATTTAAGTCCGTGTTAAAAGAAAAAACAAAAAATTTATTTGGGAATTGACAAGGCACGCGCGCACACACACACATACACGCACGCACACACACACAAATACAATAAAAGTGCTCTAGTTCTCTCTAGAAAATTTGGTCCCCCAAATCATACACTACACAACAACCAGCTCTAGGGTTTTTAGGCCAACCGGCCCGGGCCACAAGCCCTCCTGGGCCGGCCACTGCTGGGTTTCACATTTCTCCATCCCTAAGTGGGAGAAGCAAGACGTTTGAAAAACAAAAATCAGAGAGGGGAGAGCCACCCCTGCAGCGTGCGCCGGGCAGGCAGTGATCTCCGGCGTCTGGGGCTTGTATCCGAAAATTCTGGGAAATTTAAAAAATTTTTTTGCCCCAAGTAGGGAGATAGGGAAACTTCCCCGATTCACAGACGAACCATCTTTTACTGGTTATTTTCTCCTACCTCTTTGAACACAGCTTTCTGGAGGCCCGACGGGAATTCTACTGCAAATCTCCCAGTGGAGAAGATGAGGAACACTAAAGCTTTTGATGTTGATGTTTGGTTTTAGCAAACTCCAAGGCCATAATACTTCACCGGTTTTTCGGCGAATGTTTTTTTTYTCTCTCTTAAAAAATATTTTTCAATGTTATCTAAAGAAGCCCCACCAATCTCTTTAGCAAGACATTAGCCAGCCGTCCGGCCTGGAGATGCCAGATGCCCGAAGCGCCGGGATGGAGAGCAGAGCCAAACGCAGCCACATTCCACGCGGGGATGTGGTGCAAACACTAACGCAGGCCGCGGAGCGAGGCTGCTCCGGTTCCCCGCTTGGGCCCAACCCCCGCCCCGCCCAGTGGCCCCGCTGCACGCGGCTTCTGAACAGCTCCAAGAGGGTTCGCGGAGCAATCAAACACGTTCGTCCCTTTCTCCGGTGGCGTGGGTCCTGTTACCGGTCCAGCCCAGCGCTTCTAACCAAGAATTGAACAGCAATCGCGCAGGGAATGCCCAGTGAAAGCCCACCGACCTGTAAGAGAGGGCCAAAAGATCTGCGCCGCCAACGCGGTTGCAACCCGGCCCTAGGCGTTCGCTCTCCGTGTTGAATTTTGGCATGGAGTGTCCGGCCCAGACGGTGGGGCTCCAGGAGACAAGGCCTACATGTAGAAAGCACGCGGAGAGGCGACCTCAGGCCTGGGGAGCGCAGGAACATAGAGGGCAGGGAGGAGAGCGCAGGAAGAGAAGCGGAGGGGACAAAGAGGAGCGAGARGAGCTGAGGGAAGCGAAGAGACGCAGAAGGGTCGCGGGCGATGGCTGGCTCAAGAGTCGGCCTCAGAGGGTGCGCGGTCCGATAGGCTACTGTAGCTATGACTAGGGCCGGCGTCGGGCGTCCTGGCATCCTCACATCGGTCCGCGCCGGCATGCGGTGACTCTCAAAGATCCAGGCGCGAATGCAGCGCGCCAGTTTTGCTGTCGTGGTCCCAGTAAGAGCAATGCATCATGGCGAGCTCGGGCTGCCGGGCGCAGGCGAACTGCAGGCCGGGCGCACTAGTGGGCGCGGGTGCCGGGGGCGCGGCAGTGGCCGGGCTGGCGGGGCTGAGCTGGCCCGGGGGTGGCGCGGCAGCCCCGTGGTGCGGCGGGGCTGGCGGGGGTGCGGCGGCTGCATGCAGATGATGTGCRTGCGGGTGCGGATGGGGGTGCGGCGGCGGCGGGGGCGCGGCCGGTGGACCTCCCAGGCCGTTGTAGGAGTTCACTACACCGGGCGGCAGCGCCATGCTCTGCACGCGTGAGTACGGCCCGTAGGAGGCTGCCGGGCCAGCCAGCCCCTTGACGACCGCGGCCGCGCCGGGACTGCCCGGGCCCGCTGCTGCCGCCGCTGCTGCAGCCGCCGCCGCTGCCGCCGCCATCTGGCAGGAGGCGTAGGGCATGGGTGAAGGCGGCTGTGGTAGCGGCCACGAGTTGTTGAGGAAACCGGACTGCAGGTACTTTGGAGGCGCCAGGTAGCCATAACCGTCGGCCCCTGCGCCCGCCACGCCGCAGCCACCAGCGGCGCCTCCGGCTCCGAAGAGCCCCTTGCCGGGCTGGAAGTGCGCCGGCGGCGGCCGGAAGGGCCGCTTCATGCGGCGGCGGCGCCGGTAGTTGCCCTTCTCGAACATGTCCTCGCAGGCCGGGTCCAGCGTCCAGTAGTTGCCCTTGCGCTCGCCGCCGCCCTCGCGCGGCACCTTGATGAARCACTCGTTGAGGCTGAGGTTGTGGCGGATGCTATTCTGCCAGCCCTTCTTGTTCTTCTCGTAGAAGGGGAACTTGGCGATGATGTACTGGTAGATGCCAGACAGCGTGAGCCTCTTCTCGGCGCTCTCGCGGATCGCCATGGCGATGAGCGCCACGTACGAATACGGGGGCTTCTGCGCGGGGTCGGGCTTCTCAGGGGTTGTCCCGCCGCCACCCCCGCCGCCCTTGCCCGGGCTTGGCGGCGGCGCCTCCGGCTCCTTGACTGTGCGGCCGGTCTCCGGGGCCAGCAGGGTCCCCGCAGCGTTCTCGGGCTCGGGGTAGCTGGCCATCATGACAAAGCTGGAGCGCCGCGGCCCGGTCGCCACTGCTSTCCCCTCTAGACGCTGGCTCCGCGGAATCGGGGCGCACGAGTCTGCTCGCGGCCGAATCTCAAACTTCTGGAGGCTGAGGATGCCGCCCGCGTTCGCTCGCTGGAGGCCTCTGGCTGCTCTCGCTCTTCTTTCTCTACCCCCAGGGAGCGGCCGGCGGGAGTGGAACTCAGCCTCTGGCCATGGGGAATCTGCCCAACAGAGGGGCTCCGGCCTCGCCGCCCCTCCCCGCCCAGGCCAGTCCCCGCCTCGGTGGTTTTTCTTTTCTGCGCTTTCCCCTCCCCCCTCCCCCCACCGGTTTCCCGAGGCACGACCCGCGTCTCTGGCGGAGCTGCCTCCTGGAGTCCCTAGAGCGCCAAGGAGCTTCGCTCTGTTCTGATTCGTATGGGCTCCGCCGAGTTCCGCTTGCGTCAGGCGCCTTCGCCCCTATAGCGGGGCAGCCAGCCGCGCACGGGCGAGTTCATCTCCAAGTCACTTTTTGTAAACGCCCCGCACAGCCCGGACCGGCCTGCCCCCGCTCCTCTAGACTCGGGGGCCCAGCGGACAGCTCTCGCACACTCGCACAAGCCCTTGAAAACTACCCGCGCCTACTCTGCGGACSGGGCCGGGAGATATCGAGGGCCCGGGACGTGGGGGGCGCCTGAATGCGTCCAGTGCCCTGGGAGCTCCGGCCCCCGGGAGGAGAGGCGCTCCAGGCCTCCTCGCTGCTTTCAGGTGAAAGAAAAGGACTCTCTTGCTGCTGTCCTGAGGCTAAACTTCCAACTTGGGGCTGGGGGAGGGACAAGACGAAAAGTGGGCCTGACCGGGGTGGAGGGGGAAGAGAGAGCTTCGCGATGATTTGGGGAAGGCCAGCCCAGAAACGCGTGTCACTGGATGAAGAAATCTCGGCCTGCCGGGTCCCATGCGCTCTCAGAGTGACTGGGCCGGGATGGGGTTGGAGAGAGAGGATGGCTGGGAGGAGGCTCCCAGGGGCACCGTCTGAGTCGCCTCTGCCCTTTTCTGCTCTGGGGGTGGATGTAGGAACCAGATCCTTCCACGGAATCCCGTAGCAGTTCTCCAGGTTGGGTATGCTCTTTAACAACACCAGGTGGCTGCCCCTCTGCTCCTGCCACATAGATGAAGATGTTGTGATGAGTTTGGGGAACTATATATATGTGTGTGTGCAGGTGTCACATATGGAAGTCATGAGAGGGTTTGTCCTTGAGATGTCTGATATACCAGCTGTCCAGGTGAAAGAGTGCTGGTCACAAACACAGGTATGCACATGTACAAGGTGTGAGACTTATATTTACGAGATATAATACATTTATACTTGCAGATATGTCATAACATATGTATATTAAGTATCAGAATAAATGTTGTTTATGCGTGTAGCATCTTCTCTTTTCTCCCTTCACAGTTTTCTTTTCTGTCTTTCACAGTTCTTCTCTGCCTCCTTCCTCCCAGTGTATATAATTCTATCATAGACTTGGAAGAAAAACAACAGACTGAAAAAGGCACTTGTACAAAATTCTCTCATGATGTGACATTTGTTCTGATCTTCTTTCTTCAAAGGTTCAGAGGTGAGTTCTCACCTGCCTTCAACAGGAGTCTGATTGGGGTGGAGTTATATAAGCATGTATAAAGATTGTCTCATAGGAAATCTGCGCTGGCAGCAAAATCAGGTGTGCCTTTTAACAATATGACTTTTCACTGAGCCTTAACAAAAAGTCTGCAATTATAAAGTGAGAGAGGTGGCTAGTGTTTTAACTCTTCAAACTCCTGAGTGCTGAAGAGGGGGCCAGGATGCTGTGTGGAGGAGGAGGACTGAATGAATGTTAGGCAGGTGTGTGTTAGTGATTGGCATGTCTGGAATGGCTAGTCCAAAGCTTGTCACTACCCCAGCCCAGGCTCTCCAGTGTCAGAATTTTCAGAAAGCCTGAGGAGACCACTGTGGCCTGTGGGTGGCTTTAGCATCAATAGGCCACTTAATATGCTGCTTCTCACTCAGACCTCTGATTCGAATTCTGAGATGAAAGGGAGGAGAGGGTGATGGGCTGTCTGGAATTCAGCATCTTGAAGATGGCCCCCAGAGAGGTCAGCAGGGCAACCCTGGCCTGACCACCAGGGTGAGAGAGAGCTAGGATCTTCTGAATTGACCTCAGTATATTCCGCTTCTACCCCTTATTGATAATATCTCGAAGTAGCTCGATTATTTTCCAGGCTATTTCCCACTGCCCCCAACATGCACCACTTCTTCAAGATCCCTGTGATTGCTTTCTGAGCAGGCGTGCAGGTGTTTTTCTTCTTCCTCACTCTCATGGGTGCCCAGGCAATGTGTAAGAGGGGTGAGTGAGATTTTGGAGCTGAAGTTGGCTCCCCTAGGGCCCAGTCAGGGCAGAAACAGCTGGGTCTGGCTCTATCCTAGTGAGGGCTGCTCTCTCCTTTCCTCTCTCTCTCTTTTTTTTCCCTGACCACCCAGGCTGGCTCTCTTGGTCTCCCCCACACCCCTCCTGGAAGGCAGGCATTTCCGCAGCTCAGCCCCGCAGCAGCCAGGTGTGACAGCATTGTTGTGTGTGTCATCACTTCTCCGAATTCCACACTCGGCTCCCTTTTCAGTCTTCAAGGAGTGTGAGTGTGTGTGTGTGTGTGTGTGTGTGTGTGTGTGTGTGTAGGGGGTGGGGTAAAGGAAGGAGAGCCTCTGAAGGATTTTCTGAGTGCCCAAGAAGAGGACTCCTGCCCTCCCAGGTGTTGATTTCTGGCTGGACTTTCCAGGAACAGAATCCCTAACCCAGATGGAGCAAGAGGTGTGTATTTAGGAGGGGCTCCTGTTAGTCTCTCCTCAGGATGTGCCCCACATGCGGCTGCCGGGCATTGGAAGGTTGGGGAAACAGGCAGGCATTTGGGGGTACYGCAGTGATCGCGTTCAGGGTAGCTGCAGGCCTCCGGAGAAAAGCCAGTGACTCAGGCTGGAGGATCCTAGGGAGAGGTAGAGTCCTGTCTTCGCAGCGGTCCTGTCCGAGACGGGTGCGGCGGGAGCACCAGGAGGCGATGCGGTGCTCTAGAGGTAAGCTGGCCGGGTAGGGCCCCGTTTCCTGGCGAGATCGGGATCCTGTGCTGCCCAGGCCGTGTGGGCCAGAGGGCCACCGCCTTTCCCCTGGCAGGACAGCCGCGCCTCGGTCACCTCCGGATTACGCTTACCTCAAAGGGCCAAGGTCCTGATCCGGGCGGAGCTCATGCCTCTACCGCCCGGGCTTTCCAGAGGCCCGCGGCTTCAACTTGGGAGCCACCCGCTCCTGGTCCGTCGTGCCACCTTAACGCCGCCTGCAGACGCCCAGCCAGGACCCGCCGACCGAGCTCGGCCTCGTTGGCTGCCCGGGTGCCTCGGAGGCCCGGACAGCGGGAGCAAGCACTTCTCCAGGCTCCGACGAAGCCACACATCTTTTTGTCTAGCGTCGCGACAGCAGGAGAAGGCGGCCCGGTCCTGGCTGGGGAGTGGCTCGGAGATCCCCAGACAGGCAGCGCTTCCCGGTTCCGCTCACCTCGCCCGCCCCGTGCCGCCCGCCGCCGGCTGCCCGAACCAGGTCAGACCCTCTCAGCCAGGCCCAGAAACTCCCGCCAGCGCCCCACTCCTGCGCAGGGAGAGGAACCGCGCGGACTGCGACCAGGGCGAAGAGAGAAGCTTCAGTGTGCCCGTTGGTACCGTTAGTACACAACCCCACGCCTCGACCACTGTGGGCACCTGGGCCTCCCGCCCGCTCTACTCAGGTCACATCCCTCCACCACTTCTTTCCACTCCCAGTCAACTCTGTATCCCCCCTGTTGTCCCCACGACTCTCTCACACTCCTCCACTACACATACTAGTTCAGATACTGCACATTTTGGTGGAAAACATATAAACTGGTGCCTGAACTCTAAGGCTCTTCACACACTGGCCACCCACCCAACTCACAGAATGATCTCTGACTCCCTGGCTGCAAATCTGACTTTCAAAGCTTCTTGAGCCCCTGATGTCCTTAGCCTGTAGTCAGAGTGAGGGAGCTGCCACTGGCTGTTCTCCATGGCAAAGGTGTTCAGAATCCCTTTGAGAAACTGGGGTACAGAACATGCCCCCAGGCACCCACACACACACACACACACACACACACACACACACACACCACTCATCTTTGTTTTGAGCTCTGCAGAAAGTGCTCAAACGGATAGGCTGTAGTGCAAAGGGGTGGCCCAGATCTTCTCCACACAGTGTATAATTCTGCCTGGTTGGGATTAGCAGAGTCTATTGCCCAAATATTTGGGAGAGAGGAAGTGACAGTGAGAGATAGTAGGGAAGTGGGAAGAGAAAGAGAGATTGAGAGGAAGGAGGAGCCATTCCCCACTCTCTGGAAAAATTCACAGATGAGAGCTATTTCCATTTGGTGTCTTATTAAACTTTCATGCTCCTTCCTTGTGGGGGATTGGGCAAGCAGGCTAAATAGAGCTCTGGGTTACTTATTGGATTTAAAACAATAATTTTTTTTTGAGTAGGGGTCTTTATGAGTGCCTAGGCTGGTCTTGAAGTCGTGGGCTCAAATGATCCTTCCATCTCAGCCTTCCAAGTAGCTGGGACTACAGGCATGTGTCACTGTGACCGTCTTGTGTTCCTGCCTTCCTCACTGGTGTGATGCTGGGTTAGAGGTCCATCAGAATCTGCTCCAAAGAGAGTGTGCCCCACCTTTATGAGGCATGACTTCAGGGCAGGAGGTCTTTATCTTGATTGAGGCTAACTCAGGGAGAAGAGGCAGATGGGGCTTGAGGACCACCTCCCTCTGAAGACCTCTAGATGCTCCTCAAGAGGATTCTTGGGTGGCCAAAGCTGTTGGCCACTGTTCTCTGATATCTCCCATGACTTTCATGGCCCAGGGCCATTTTATCAGACCTGAACAGTTAGTGCCTTGCCAGGAGGCCCAGACCCTTGCTTGGGAGTAGGGTGTGCTGTTTGCCCTGTTGCTTTTCTCCACCTCTACACTGTAAGCCTTGATGGACAGACTGTCTTCCATGACTCACTCTGTGTTTCCCACCAGGATGACTTTAATGCTTTCTAATGGGATTGGAAAATGGTTCTGCTCCATGGGGAGAATTAGGAAAGGTTATTTTCC